TCAATCATTGGTCGGGACCCACTGATCGGCTTGTGCTGTAACTAATCACAGCACAGCCAGAGCAGCAGGCGCACATGCCCCCCTACCCAGAAGAGCTTGAGCATGTATTAAGTACGTGATCCAGCGCAGAGAGACTTCCTTGCCGCCGCACTCCTTTGTGAGACGGTCTGCAAGTCGATAAACTGTTTTGTATAGTTTTTATTTATTGTAAAAAAATATTTATTTTGTAAATCAAAATGTATAACAGGACACTAATTAGAAAACCCAGCACTGTATGTATTTCTGGTAGACTGTGTTAATTGATTCATTGGAACATTGCAGTCACTTCTCTGAAAGCATGGGAGGTGTCCCTTCTCTGACTCATTCAGGTCCATTTTTATGCTGCTATCTGTGTGTTCAGAGAACTCTTGTTCTTGCCTAGAACACCATCTGCTGTCTACATATGGTAAATATGAAATTGTGATATTGAGTAAAAAGGAATAAAGTATTTTTTATTATTCATTTTTAACACTAAACATAATAAAATTGAAGAACCCTTTAAAATAAATGCAGCTTATTCAAAGCAATTTCTGTTTAAGGAATGTTTCATTAACAATATATATTCACCAGCCACTTTATTAGGTACATCTTAGTAGCGCTAAGAAAATATGCCCCTCACCATTACACCACCACCACCAGCCTGAACCATTGATACAAGGCAGGATGGATCCATGCTTTCATGTTGTTTACACCAAATTCTGACCCTACCATCTGAATGTCGCAACAACCAGTCTGCCTCTGACCTCTGATATCAACAAGGCATTTTCGTCCACACAACTGCTGCTCACTGGATATTTTCTCTTTTTCAGACCATTCTCTGTAAACCCTTGAGATGGTTGTGCATGAAAATCCCAGTAGATCAGGAGCTTTTCAAATACTCAGACCAGCCCATCTGGCACCAGCAATCATGCTACGTTCAAAAACACTTAAATCCCCTTCTTTCCCCATGCTGATGCTTGAACTTCAGCAAGTCGTCTTCACCATGCCTAAATATTTTGAGTTTCTGCCATGTGATTGGCTGAATAGCAATTTGTGTTACCAAGCAATTGAACCGGGTATACCGATGAGTGTAAATACGTTTTCTTAGACCAACAAACATAAATGAAATAGCACTTTTCCTAAGATGTATGTAAACCCTAACTATAAATTTCTTTTGTTTGCTCTCTTTTTAAATATAACATTGAAAGCACTTACATTGTTCCCAGCTGTGTTTGTAGACTATAAATCACCCCCATTGTTATGAAGAAGGGTAGATGGGGAGGTGTTCTGTAGTTGTGTCCAGGGGCGGACTGACCATTAGGGTACTCTGGCACTGCCCGAGGGTCCGGGGTCAGTAGGGGGCCCCATGAGATGCCCCTGGTACCTTTCATAGGCTTTTTTGGGTGTAGTTTGAGTGTGGGCAAGGACACAGGGACCCCATGATCCCCTATTGCCCGGGGGCCCCATGAGTTGTCAGTCCACCCCTGGTTGTGTCCTAGGTTGACAAAGTTTCTCTTCCATAGATACAGCACAGTAAGGGTGTACTGTCACCCTAGGACAAGAAGTATGTTACTTGCAGGATTACTAGGTGAAAATAATAAAAAAATAATATGAAGTAAAACTATTCCACCCACCCCATCAATGCATTTGTAAGTGGTAATATTTACAAATTTTGATCTTGGGTTTAGATATGTTTTAAGACCAGGTCTTTTATGTAGTCTTGAGCTTGACAATAAAAATTTGTTTTATTTACCTAGGTACTGTAGTTCATTTGTAGTCTGCCAGCTTTACAGTTGCATGTTCAGATGGTATCTCTCTTTGTAGTTTCTCTTAAAATATTTGCTTAATTTAATCAGTGATAATTCATGAGCTATCTAAGCAGAAAACAATCCTGATTCAACAAGGATAAATCATTGCCTAATGTCTGTCGTAGTGGAAGAGTTAAATGACTTTTACAAATTAATTAATTCCCCCCTTAAAACGTAATGCTGATTAAGGTCCCCCTAGGGAGTGGATTGTTGATTTTTCTACAAGCTAATTCATTTTCATGCAGCCCTAACCATGACTTTGAGCGCTAGTAATGTAGGTGTGTTCCTTACATTGCAAAGTTACATGAAGATCAGGAATGGCAGTCTGGAAATTCAGATAGACATTCTCAAAGCAGCTTGCAAATATGAGGGATGGGCTGCTGTAAATACACAAGTCTACTATTGATTATAAATGACAGTAAGAGATCCATGATGAGCTTAAACTCATAATAATAGCTATATTATTGAACCTTGTTCACCCTTTTCACCATTGTTCACTCCATTTTCATGGAAAAAATATACAGCAAATAAAAAGAAAATAGCATGTACAATTGCTACACTGAAATTTTATTTTAGTAAAAATTGCCTTTCCATTTCAGTTAGCAATGCTGTAATTTTCTGTAAAATTGAATGTGATATGGCAACCTGGAGGTGTACTATACACTGCTGGTGCCTCCAAAAAATATTATTTCCTGCTTGTGTGATTGGTTCACTGATTTTCCCAGACGTCTGCACTAAGATACAAGTCAGATTTTAGGCACCCTCTCAACAGAAATGTCATTTTTTGTGAGATAGTCTCTAAGAGTTAAAGTGGTTGTAAAGCCTAAACATTCTTTCTACCTTAATGCATTCCTCGCATCAAGTCAAGTCCTCACCCGATCCAGAACAGTGCCCATTGCCCCACATCTCTCCTCTTCTCCCCACTCTCACAGGCTTTGCTGAGAGCAGCGAGAGCCATTGTTTCCCATTGCTGTCAGTCAAATCCTGTGACAAGTGAAAGGGGGCCTGACCAAGCCTCACTGCCTGTGTGTTTTAAAGACACACACAAGCTGGCTCAGGAGTGAGCGCACAGGTGTGCCACGATAGGAAGTGGCTTCCTATGGTGGCACACCAAGAAGAGGAGAAGCAAGGTGTTCTGGTGGGTGACCCAAGAAAAAGGAGGGTCAGGGCTGCTTTGTGCAAAACCATTACACAGAGCAGGTAAGTGTACAATGTTTTTTTTATTTTAAAAAAAATAAAATACCAAGGTTTACAATCACAACAACAGACTTACTGGCAGGACCAGTAAATAAAGCATAACATAGAAAACTATTGCAGCCATCATCTCTAAGAATTGGTAAACTGCAATATATTAAATGTTTGCTTTTGTGTTTAAGCACCTCTCATCAGGCTGTTGTATATAAACGGCCGGACGGTGGCAGTGCAGGGTCGGGTGGCCGTTTATATATGGCCTCCCCGCACCCTGCTTGTGCGCACTCCCTGGGAGCATGCAGCACCGTGATCCAGTGTCCGCTGTGTCCTCCAGACACAGTGGAACACAGATCACCGGACGGGACCTCTGTACGAGGTCCCAATCATGTGATCCTGATTGGCCAATCAGTGATCACATGCAGAGTAGTAAGCAAGATGTCACTTGTGACATCATTGCTTACTACGTGTGAAATCTGTGAATGATCACAGAGGTCACATGGTACACGGCTATTCACAACAGCCTTGTACCATGTGAAAAGCTCTGACCAATCACAGCTCACACAATAGTTCTCAATGGCTGCAAGAATGCAGCTAGAGAGAAGGAGAAATGATTGCTTTTACATCCTTTATGGGTGTAAAAGCAATCAGTGTAAAAAAAAAAAAAACCTTCATCACCCCCCACAAGTAGTACAGTGTCACCATGGTGACACTGTACTGCTAGGGTGACAGTACGTAAAAAAAAATAATAAATAAAAAAAATATTAAAAAAAAAGTGTAAAAAAAATGTTTAAAAATTATAATTTTTGGCTATAGACTAATTTGGGTTATTTTTTTTAGTAAAAATATAATGGAATAAATTTTGGCCAAGATTTATGGTGAAATACTATTTATTTGCTAAATTTTATAAGAAAAACACTTTTTTTCAAAATTTTGGACTTTTTAATTTACATGGCAAAAAAAATTAAAATCCTAGTGGTGAATAAATACCACCAAAATAAAGCTTTATCTGTCTCAAAAAAATGCTAAAAAATTCATATGGGTACAGTGTTGCATGACTGCGCAATTGTCATTCAAAGTGTGATAGCACTGAAAGCTGAAAATTGGCCTGGACAGGAAGGAGGTAAAAGTGTCTGGACTGGAAGTGGTTAACACAGCTTTAAAACTATACTAATGGCTTACATTGTTTTTTTCTAAAAACAACAAACATGTTATACTTACCTGCTCTGTGTAGCGGTTTTGCACAGAGCAGCCTGGATCCTCCTCTTTTCGGGTCCCCCTCAGGCTCTAATGGCCCCTCCCTCCTGTCAGGTGCCCCCACAGCAAACAGGTTGCTATGGGGGCACCCGCTGCTCCAAGTGTCCATTTACACACGGAGCCGCATCTCGGCCCCGCCCCCTCTCTCTTCTCAATGGCTCACTGCCAAGTCTCCAGTGTGCATTGCTGCATCAAGAGGGGGCTTAAGTGAATATATTAGGGGGGCTGCTGCATAGAATGCATGAAGGTATAAAACCTTGAGCCTTTACAATCATTTTAAGTAATCAGAATACATTTTTTAAGATAGTGGTCATTTAATTAGAAGAGTCTATAAGAGGCAATGTAAGAGAGTAATTAGTGTTTGTTGTTTGGACACCAATTCAGTGCAAACAGTATGCACTATAGCGTAGACTAGCAGTGTTCCTCTCTCTGAAACAGGTGTATTCTTGAACAAAGAACTGACATTCCAGATCAGTAAGAAGTATGTGTTCTGCTTAGCTGCCTGTCAGAACTGATCCCAAATTACAGGCAGTGCTTGCAGGGCTTTCAGGTTCAGCCGTTTTGTTCACAATGCAAAGTATAAAAGGACACTTTGAAAGCTTGTTTTCTGCTGGGCTGGTGTCAAGTAAATACACTGTGCTTTGTGTTTAATGCTGTGGCTTACTACCAGGGTGGACCAAAATAATTGTCACATAGGGATGTACTGGTGCTTCTCCCACTCCATGTGACAGAATCACAAAAAACTTCTTTACATTCTAGCATGGGAAATGTAGTGTGGAGGTTCTGCATGCAGTATGTTTGTATATGTATATGGGGTGTCAGTGAGCGCTATGGGTGTGTAGAAAGGTATAAGTATGTTTGTATATGTACGGGATATAACCACTTACTGTGAGATCAGTGCCGGGACAAAGCCATCCAGCGCCAGGGGCGGACTGACCTTTCGGGTACCCGGGCACTGCCTGAGGGCCCAGGGTCAGTAAAGGGCCCCATGAGATGCCCCCAGTACCTTTCATAGGCTTTTTTGGGTTTTTGGGTGTGGTTTTAAGTGTGGGTGAAGATACAGGGGCCCCATGATCCCCTATTGCCCAGGGGCCCCATGAGTTGTCAGTCCTCCCCTGTCCAGCTCCCAGGTCAAAGATGCCAAACTGTACCCCCCGTTCATGATGTTCAAGCTTAAGGGATCCTATGCCCAGCAGTCACTCGCTTGCCAAGGCGAGTCAGACAGGCACTCCCATCCCTATAGTAAACCATTGCTCCCAGGGCAGCTATTCCTCCCACTCACCCCTTGTCCTGGCCCTGTGTGAGATATACACAGGGAGTATGCCCTATCCTTCAGTTCTTCATCCAGAAGTCACATTTGCACATCAGTCCATTCCCTGTTGTTGGTAATCTGGCAAGCCTTGAATGGTCTTTTTGGTAGCACTCATCCTTATAATTGCTTTTCACATACAGAAACTCATTTTAAAAAAATGTCAGTATGAAAGAGTTTGTCATCACCACACCGGAGATTCTAGCACCCATTAAGAGAGGGATTTACCCCACATGTAGATGCTACCTGTCGTGTCCACAGAAAACTAAGTGAAGGGATATCTCTCAAATATGACACAGATGCAAAGATACACCTGATAGGGGCTTTAACAATTCTCCACTCTATCCAGAATAAATAAAGCTTTGTCCTTAGATCAAATTTATGTCTGCATTTTTTCTAAAATTCATTCACAGTATTACATACAATATGTAAAGACTCATTTTAGATAGTAAGCTCCAAGGAACAGGGCCCTCCTAACCCTCTTGTATTGAACTGTATTGTTGCTGTATTGTCTCCCGTTATATTGTAAAGTGCTGAGCTAACTGTTTGCGCTAAATAAATCCTGTATAATAATATAATAATAATAATAATTTTACCTTTTTTTGTGTCTAAATGAGAAATATGTCTCCTACAAAATAATTCATGTTGTCTTATTTTTATTCCTTTGGGTGCTGCAGCTGTGGGCGCTCCCGAGGATGTTGCCCTGTACGTGGGAGTGGTGGCAGTGGCAGTTTTTTTGGTGTTGCTGCTAGCTGTCATATTGGTGTGTTGGCGTAGGAAAGAAGGTCTGGATGCCGATGTGGCTGATTCCTCCATTCTAACAGCTGCGTTCCAGCCTGTCAGCCTGAAGCCTGGCAAAGCAGGTGAGGCCCCTCAGGATAATACAGCGTCTTCAAAATGTATTCTGTTGTTATTAGGGACATTTGTTAGTTGCGCATAAGCAGTATGTATGCACAATAGTAACAGACACTCCGTGATTGTAATGCCAGAGCAGGATATCATTAGGGGAAAACACACAAAAATCATAAGTGCTCATTGGCTGGCTGCCTAGAGTTAGCTCAGACACTAATAGCCCTTTAAAAACTCATTTTGACTTATTTAGGATGGAGTTACACTAATTTCCTCCAGTGTTTAAATAAATGTCTCATTAAAAATTTGTTCTATTCCCATATATGAAATATGTTTTGTGCAACACAAGGTGTTATTACTGTATGGGGTTTTCAGTGCTGTAACTTTTATTAATAAAAATGGCAGCATTTTTTTCTTAGCTAAGCTCAGGAATTTCATTAAAGCTATCAATAGAACTTGCTTCCTTCAGTAATGGTGGAAGACAATGATCCACTTCAGACAATACTACATGCCACCCTGTCTGCATTATACTGCTTTCCCTCATACTTGTGTGATGGTGTAGTGGAATCCCCATTTTTTATTTATTCATGAACTCAGCAGAAAAATGCTGCCATTTTTATTTAAATCACTGCAGTATCAGAAATCTGTTACCATGTCAGAAATAGATGGCGAATATTTGATTATTTTCTATGAACAAGAGACCTATCCCCCTACTTCTGCTCTAAAGAGCATTGGTATTTATATTCTAAAGTGTAGAAGAGCTAAAGTAAATGATCACAAACACCAATGCTCTTTAGAGCAAAAGTAGGGGGATAGGTTTTTTGTCCCAAAAACATTTAGCTTGGGGTGTACTGGGGAAACCAGTAAAATAAATATGTTCACGAGGTGACCCTGAGTTGAGATACTTCACCATTCAAACATTGATCAATGTTCTAACTTGTGATGACAGATTGTGGCAGAAATAAATCTTTCAGCACCAAATTAAAATATGTTTACCTGGTGACCCTGAGTGGAGATACTTCACCATTCAAACATTGATCAATGTTCTGACTTGCGATGACAGATTGTGGCAGAGAAAAATCTTTCAGCACCAACATCATTGCAACTTTGAGATGTCAAGTGACCAAATGCCAAGACAGCAAAGGAAAGTGATGTTTGAAAATGTGTACAGTATAACACTAAATCATGTCCTTTAGGAATACTTGATTTTTCTATGTTCACCAATCACAGTAGCACCATGGAAAACTTTGAAAAGTCCTCTTTTTTAGCCCACATAAATCTGTCCCTTCTATGAATGACCATTTGGTTGTGTTTGCCTCCTAAGCCAAAGATTCCCAGTCCTTCACTGATCTAGTTACATCACTAAGTATAGCTACTTTATATACTAATTAAACAGTCCTATTCCTCCAGCAAAAAAAAGCATTATTATAATGTTTGCATGCTCTAAAGTGGTACAGTCAAATTAGGTTATCATATTTTTAACAGCTGTACTTTAGCAACAGAAACCTGGACTTTATTTTCCTTTGAACTAGGTCAGGCTCACTTGCTGACCATTCAGCCAGATCTTAGCACAGCCACGATGACCTACCAAGGTTCTCTATGCCTACGACAAGATGGTGGGAATAAATTTCAGCTAACAAATGGACACCTTTTGCCACCTATGGGACCAGGTATACCACGGGAGCATAGCCACACTTTACCACGTCTCTCCACCCAAACCTACTTCCGTACCCTGCCTCGTGGATCCAACAATATGGCATATGGAACCTTCAACTTTCTAGGAGGACGTCTAAAGATCCCAAATACAGGTATGTACTAGACTATTTGTTTTCCCCACTACTGTCAAAGCTGCAGAGTAGACATAGAGAAAATTTTTTACGTAGACTCTAGATAGAATGCCCTGCTATACTGGGTAGAAAGGAATCAGCAATGTAACACTGCCTCAAAAGTGATCTGCTCAGTGATCTGCATTTAAAAAAAAAAACAAAATGTATTAGTTCATATGTGTGTATCATATTTCACACAGTTAATGTATGTTTGTTTGAGACTTAATCTATTCTTTTTTTTAATCGAAAAAACTATTGACTGGAGTTAGGCATGATGCATATGAAATGCAGGTGCTTGTTCTACAAGTAAACTAAACAGTGGGTACAACCGTATATGGCCAATATAGAGATTACTGATGTATATGCCACCTTCTTACATCATGCACCAAAGCAGCCAAATGCAACCAAATTCTGAGCCAGTACTGCAAGCACAAATCTTTATGGTACATGTTAAGCTCAGCAATGGAGGCATTGAGTTGAAATCAATGGGCTAGGGAAGGATATTGAAAAGTATTTATTTCATATACCTCTAAGACAGCAAAGGGGAGCAGTGCTTGTAGCATTCTAGAGATTCAAAATCTTGCTATGTGGGAAATTTGACAATTCAGTACCAGGGGCGGACTGACAACTCATGGGGCCCCCGGGCAATAGGGGATCATTGGTCCCCTGTGTCTTTGCCCAAACTCAAAAAAGCCTATGAAAAAGGTTCCAGGGGCATCTCATAGGGCCCCTACTGACCCCGGGTCCTCGGGCAGTGCCCGAGTTTCCAAATGGTCAGTCCGCCCCTGTTCAGTACTGACAGATAGAGAAGTTAATTAAATCATTACTAAATTCAGCTGTGGCCACTGTAATAAAAAAATACACCAAGCTGGTGTTTTTACTTTGTACAGCAGGAAAAAATAGTGGATTTTGCTAATAAATTTCAAACATTGCAGAAGATAAAATGGCAGAAATACCCTGAGTTACCAGTATGTGCAAAGATATTGGACACTTATGACCACATTACCTAATTTTCTACTGTATCTGAGGTGCATGTGTACTGACCAACTTGCCCTCCTGATGATCTAGGAAAGGCAGAGCCTTACAGCACTGCAGGACATCTATTTTCTGTGTCCATGGAAGAGGCATTTGGCAGGAATTAGAAACCTGTACCCACCTCCATTTTCCTCCAAATCTTATAGCACTTGCAGGTTTCTCCATTAGAATACCCCCCCCCCCCTTTTTTTTTAAGGAAGGATAAATTTGCCTTTTACAAAAAATAATAATAAATGCACATATTTTTACTGGTAAAAAATATGACTAAATAAATATAGGTGGCTCCAGAATAATATTAGTAATAATTATTACAGTCAATTTCTATGTCAATAATACCAGCTGCAAAATCTGCCCTATAATAAGGTGCATATAAATACAAACATACTCAGACTGCGCTAGTAAAAAAATAAAATAGGTGTCCGTGAAGAAATAAATCTAAATCATATTAATCATATAAACCTCCCAAAAAACATTTTCCAAAGAAAATAACAAAACAAAATCATATCAATCATATAAAGTCCCAAAAAAATATATAAAAAGTGGTAATGATGAAATAAATTCAAACGAAATCCACCAAGTGTATCCACCAACAAATAAACTGAATAAACTCACCAGAGCAATATGCTGATCATATTATAAACCAGCATAAACGCTTCTCTGCTCTGGGAGCAATGATCTGTAGAGGCTCTGTGAGGACGTCGAAAGACGAAACGCGTAGGACGGGGCTTGAGTGGTGTGACGTCAGCGCAATCTCAGTGATCGTTACAGCGCATGTGCGATTTAGATTTATTTCTTCACGGACGCCTATTTATTTTATTTTTTTACTAGCGCAGTCTGAGTATTTTTGTATTTATAGGTAGAAAAATATGCATTGATTATTTTTTTACACTGTAGTCTGTAAGGCATTGCACCAGTGGC